GTCCGTATCCGTGGGTTCTGGAACCTTCTCGGCCACCGCGGGCTGTGGCCACGTGACTCTGCTCACGGTCCCGGTGGCCAGGCTCCGGTAGCCGGCTCCCACCACCTTGGTGCCGGCCACGGCCGCAGGATGAAGGGCTCTGGGGCGGAGCCGCGGGCTCTGGGGCAGCTCCTGGTCGGTGCTGGCCACCCCGTCCAGGCCGACCCCGAGGCGTCCTCCTGCGGCCGCCATGGCCACGAGGCCGGCGACGGGCAGCGCCCACTGGCCACGCGGGAGTCAGTCCACCAGGTGCTGGTGGGCCTGCTGCAGCAGCGCGGAAGCCGCGGGAGGCGGCAGCGGCAGGAGCGCGGGTCACCCGAGGCCCCCGTCCGGCAGCGCCAGCCCGAGTCCTGCGGCCTGAGGAGCTCGGCAGGCGCGGGCGGCCTCGACAGGCCGGCCTTGACCACGGGCGCGCCCTCGGGCGCAGGCCGGCCGGAAGTGCGTCAGTGGGCCCCGTCGGCACCCAGACCCAGGTGCGCGCCCTTTTGTCGCCCGCCCACTCGCCGCTGACCCCAGCATCGTTGGGGAGCCCTTCTGAGACAGGTAAGTGGGGAATGCCGCCCACCACCGCGCGTCCGCCTGCGTGGGTCTGTGTCTCCCGTGCCTCGCGGCTTCCCTCGGGTCTGCTTCCCCACCGGCCTGAGCAGCGCTCCTCCTCTGGGCTCTGGGCCGGAGCTGTAGCTCCTCAGGAGACCTACTGTGTGACCCGGCCTCCTCGCGCCCCACGGGTGACCTGACCTCGCGCCCCCACGGGTGACCTGACCCGGCCTCACGTCCCACGGGTGACCTGACCTGGCCTCCTCACGTCCCACGGGTGACCTGACCTGGCCTCACGTCCCACGGGTGACCCTGCCTCCTCACGTCCCACGGGTGACCTGACCTGGCCTCCTCACGTCCCACGGGTGACCTGACCTGGCCTCACGTCCCACGGGTGACCCTGCCTCCTCACGCCCCACGGGTGACCTGACCTGGCCCCCTCACGTCCCACGGGTGACCTGACCTCCTCACGTCCCATGGGTGACCTGACCTGGCCTCCTCACACCCCACGGGTGGCCTGACCTCATGTTCCCCACGGGTGGCCTGACCTCCTCACGTCCCATGGGTGACCTGACCTGACCTCCTCGCGTCTCATGGGTGATCTGGCCTCCTTGCGCCCCCACAGGTGACCTGCCCTCGTGCCCCCACGGGTGACCTGCCCTCGTGCCCCCACGGGTGACCTGACCTCCTCACACTCCCTGTGTGCTCGCACGCCTCGCAGGTGGCCTGGGAACGGGTGCTGTCACGGCGCGGTTTCCTGAAGCTGCGTGTCTGCAGTCAGTTGGGGAGGCGGCTGTTGCCTGGGCCTCAGTTGGACACCACCCTGTAGTCTTGACACTTTGTTCTTCCGTGACCCATGGCAAGGGAGTGGGTGCTTCCCAGTCCCAGTATGCGCATGGGGACTGTGGCGGCTGGTGAGTGCTCTCACCCAGTCCCAGAGATGGTGCGTTGGGGCGGGGGTGAGGACCAGGGGCAAGCAGTGATGCCTGCACGCCCGGCTTTGGTGTGTGCCCCAATTTGCTATAGACTGTTCCAGGTCTCAGGACAAGGGAAGCTGGAGGGGCGCTGTCCCAGAGGGCCAGTGGGTCCTGGCTTGGAACAGCTGCCTCCCGTCCGTCTTGCAGAGTGCTGTGTGGACCCGGATTCTGGGCTGCCCGTCGTGCTGCTCTGTTTAATTGGGATTGTGAGGCTGTGGGTGTTTTTACTGATGTGGTGGGCTGTATGTGGGGTCCCAGGGAGGCGGGGGGAAGGGGTCCCTGTCCCCTGGGAGACTGGATTCTGACCATGGCTCCCTCCTGTGCAGCAGCCCGTGCTCTGGGGATTGGGATGAAAATGGGAGCTGTTTCCCTAAGCAGAGTCGCCTGGTGTGGTCCCTTCGGGGCACCCCTCGCTGGCCTCCCAGCCAGCGCTGCCCTGCTCGGGGTTGGCCTTGCTGCTGTCCACGGACGGGGGTGGTGATTTCCCCAGGGCCCCTTCCCCCGCCACGGGGCCAGGTGCCATGTTTCTGTGCTGCCCCCAGGTCTGCAAACCCTGCAGGTGCCTTGTCTCAGTTCCAGGATCCACTCCCCTGCGCCCACCTTGGACACCTGCTGAGAGCACAGCTGCTTCCGCTGGAGGGGGGGGGAGGAAATGCTGGGCCTCTACTCGGCTGTCTTACGAATCATATTCTATTGATCACATTTTATCCTTTTAAAAACTTACAGTTATATATTTCTGTTTACATGATTGTGTGTGTGAAAGAGAAAGAGGTTTTTGATGTTTTCTGTTGTTTTTGAAATATCTGACTTTTAGGGAGCTTTAGGAAATGAAGTTGTGCAAAACTTTTTTTCTCTTGTGAGACATTTTCTTTTAAAAAAAAATAGGTTTATTTATTTGTAAATGATGGATTTACCAAAAAAAAAAAAAAAAACCACAGAGAGAAGAGTTTCCATCTCCTGGTTCCTGCTCCAAGTGGCCACAGTGGCCAGAGCTGATGGACCCAAAGCCAGGAGCCAGGAACTTCCTCCAGGTCTCCCCCATGGGTGCAGGGACCCAAGGACTGGAGCCGTCCTCCACTTCCCCCAGGCCGTTAGCAGAGGGCTGGATGAGAAGTGGAGCAGCTTGGACTGGAACCAGTGCCCACGTGGGATGCTGGGTACTGCAGGCAGAGGGTTGGCATGACAAGCGACTGAGCTGACCCCACCTCATCAGACATTCCTAATTGCCAGTTAGACTGCAAGGCATTGCTTTCTCCCCAGTCACTTGCTCGATGGGAAGGGAGATTCCGACAGGGCATTGGGGTCCTCCTGGGGGCCAGACCCCACCTTCCCCCACACCGGCCCTGCTGACCAGGGGGCTTTGTCTGCTGATTTTCCTTTCCAGGTTCTCTGCTGCTTCTTTTTTAAAAACAACTCAATACGTGAAAGCCTCGCTGTGTTCTTGCTTAGCAGAACAGAGTTCAGACAAAATGTGGGGTGTTGCAGCCCCCAAACTCAGAAGCAAATGAGAAGTGTGGCTCCTCTTTTCCCGGTGAAGTCCCGTTCAGGTGGACGGCTCCCTGCGGCACCTGCAGGTGGATGAGGGCTTTGTCTGGGGTTGATGGCCCGGGGCATCGTGGGTCCTCAGGGGGACGGAATGGCGTCACATGGCCTTGCGCACGCCGTGCCATCGCTTCCCGAGACAGTGCTAGCCTGGCTCTTTAAGTGCATCTTAGACCTGGCAGACGAGGCTGCTATTTCTTCACGCTGGCACAAGGCACTCAGCTTTATAGTCCGAAATGGAGATGATCGCGACGTTTGTCCTGCCTTTATCCACCCAGCCTCTCTCCAAAAGAGCCCTAACACTCCCTGTCATACCTTTTTAAAGACTTTTTTTTTTTAATTGGAAAGGCACATATACAGAGAGGAAGACCTTCCATCTGCTGATTCACTCCTCAAGTAGCCACAATGGCCAGAGCTGCACTGATCCAAAGCCAGGAACCTGGAGTCTCTTCTGGGTCTCCCATGTGGGTGCAGGGTCCTGAAGCTTTGGGCCGTCCTCTACTGCTTTCCCAGGCCACAGACAGGGAGCTGGATCGGAAGTGGGGTTGCTGGGATTAGAACCGGCGCCCATATGGGATCCTGGCATGGTTAGACGAGGACCTTAACCACTAGGCTCATGCGCTGGACCCTTGGTGGTACATCTTGTTTGGCACAGTCATTGCTTCTTTGCATGGCTAATTTACAATAATCACTGATATAAGCAATGTCCTAAAACCTTTGCATTGTTATATATCCAGGTTTTAGATCCATATATTTCTTCCACGTACTCCCTCCGACATTTTGGGTTGAAGTCATCTGTTTTGGAGGATTTCAGGATGACTTAGGTCCTTCCAGTTCTCAGCTGATCTTATTCCTCCGTTTCTCTGCTGCATTTCTGCTGGCTGACTAAAGAGCTTCCCATTCCGCGAGTCCGTCACTCAGCAGGGTCCGTGGCTTGGTGACCGGTGGGTGAGCGAGCTGTCAGCCCTGAGTCACTCAGCAGGGTCCGTGGCTTGGTGACCGGTGGGTGAGCGAGCTGTCAGCCCTGAGTCACTCAGCAGGGTCCGTGGCTTGGTGACCGGTGGGTGAGCGAGCTGTCAGCCTTCACTGTAGTCTGTGTAGCCCACACTGCCATGTATTAGAATGGCCACCTTTCTACAGCTGCAGGTTCAGCCCCATCGGCTTTATTATCTGAGCTGAGAAGGCTGGTTCCTGGACCGCCACGTGCACAAGGCGACAGGAATGTAAACACTGCTCGGCTCACCCCCGGCTGAAGCCTCCCCCGCTGTCCGTTTCCGCCAAGCCCAGTGCAAGGCTGCCTTCTTTGAAAGCTGAAACCTCAGAGGCTGTTCTGTTCCTCTTGCTAATGGGGATAATCTCACAAAATAAAAGGTTAAATAGCACAATATTTAATAACATGAGTTGTTTGTTTGCCTGGGCTTGGAAAAGCTTTAGAATAGTCCAGTGTGGCTCTTCATTTTATACTCCTCCATTTTTAGCTTCATTTCCCGATGTGTTGGAAACGAGCATTGCTGGACGTTTAGAAGTGGTCGGCCTTTCCCAAGGGCCGGATCTGGTATGCATCTCCTTGACTCCATTGACTCACTTCTTTTTCTCAGCAAAATTTCATCATCACCACCATCTCTACTTCACCCACTTGATTCCCCTCGCAGCGACACCGCCAGCACCACCCTCCATCACCATTGTCAGCTCTGGAAGACCATAGTCCCAGAGTGGGAGCCTGACGCCCCCGAGGAAGGGTGACAGATCATAGCACATTTCTCTGCTTTTATGTCTGCGTGTCCTGAGTCTACAGACCCGACATTGCCATTGCAGTTTCGAACCTCGAAGGCCAGAGACCTTGGCGTCCAAACAGGCTGATGTAGCTGCAACGGATCTGGGATTGATGTTTACCACGTTAGGGGTCTAGTGTGAGTTTGGGCCACAGCCTAACACCTTTCTCAGAGCCGCCAGCACCTCCTTGTTCCTCAGGCTGTAGATGAGCGGGTTCAGCATGGGGGTGAAGATGGTAGCAAGCATGAAGAGAGCCTGGTCCAGCTTGGGGCTGTGGGAGGAACTCGGCCTCATGTAGACCAGCATGGCGGGGCCAAAGTAGAGGCTGACCACGCACAGGTGGGAGGAGCAGGTGGCCAGGGCTTTGTTCCTGCCCTCAGGGGAGTTCATGCGGAGGACAGTGAGGAAGATGAGGGCGTATGAAGTCAGGATGAAGGACAAGGGAATGAAGAGCACCCCAATACTTGTGGCCAGCACAGCTTTCTCATAGGCAGAGATGTCCTCGCAGACCAGTTTTAGGATGGCCATGACCTCGCAGAGGAAATGGGAGATCTCCTTAGATTCACAGACAGGGAAGTGCATAGCATAGGCGGTGTGCACCAGGGAGAGAAGGGCACCCCCGGCCCAGGAGAGCGCAGCCATGCGCAGGCAGACCCCCTGGCCCATGAGGAGGGCGTATCTCAAGGGCTTGCAGATGGCCACGTACCGGTCATAGGCCATGAGGGTGATGAGGATGCACTCGGCAATGCCTAGAGTCAGGAAGAAGAAGATCTGCACTCCACAGGCCACCCGTGAGATGGTCCTCCTCCCTGAGACGAAGTCGGCTGCCATCTTAGGCACAGTGCTCGAGATTAGCAACAGGTCCATGAGAGCCAGCTGGCTGAGCAGGAGGTACATGGGTGTGTGAAGGCGCGTGTCCACCCAGATCAGAAGGACAAGTGTTGAGTTGGCAGCCAGAGCCACGGTGTAAATCAGGAGGATGGCTGAGACCAGGAAGGCGACATGTTTCATGCCGGGGAAGAGACCCAGGAGGATGAAGTCCAGGTCAGAAGACTCACTCCCGTTGCCCATGTCTGTGCCGTGGCAGTGGGAGGAGGCATCCCTGGGAAGGGAGGGCTGGGGGCTCTGAGTGCTCAGTCGGACCCGCCTTGCGGCTGGCTTGCATGCCAGTGTCCTGTTCAGCCCTTGGGGACTGTGGGCCTGAGGGCCTCCATTCCTGGCTAGCTGTTGGCAGGCGGTCACTCAGTTCCTTGCCCCTGGGTGGGGCAGGACACCACATGAAGAATAGCTTCCCTCAAGAAAAGTAAGATTAAGAAGGGGGATAGGGAGAGAAAGATGGAATCACGGTCTTCTTGAACCACGTGTCAGCGGCGACCAAGGTGTGGGTCCAGCCCTTGTGCCCGGGAAAGGTGGCACAAACATGGGCACCAGTGGGCAGGCTCGTGGGGTCCTGCATCAGGCCCATTTGTCTAAGAGCTTCTCCAAATCCATTGTTATTTTTGTCATCCCCTGGAATTTCAGGCTTAAAGACATATCTGAAAAACCGACTTGACTCTTACCTGCAGTCAGCAGTATCTTCGTGTTCTTTTGGAGTTGAAGAAATTTATGGTTCGAGAAAGTTCTGACAGGTGGCCGCATGCCGCTGGCTGCCGCGCTGCGAAGGGCCTGGGCTCAGGTCTGCGAATCTCCTCGCCTGACTCACGGACTTGCCTTCCTGTCGGCTTGTTCACATGAACTCCTCTCCTTGGAGATCACTAAGGGACAAGTGTGACAGTTCAGATCAGTGCAAAGTCAGTCACTCCCATGCAGCTCATGCACTCTCACATGTATAGAAATATGGCTCATTCTAACTTTGTTATTTATTGTAATTTATGTAGAGGTTTCTGTCTCCTAAAGTGCATGTGAAGTATTAATCTATTTCGACTTTGTGAGTTTAGTTGGCAGGTTTAAGTATACCCAGTTCAAGGGGATACACTTAGCTGTTAAGTCTTGAAGCACGTCTGTAAATACGTATGTTACGGTTATACTTTAGTGCGTTCATGTCTGGGCAGATAAGTAATTTTCATTACTGTCAGGAAAGTGGATCATTTCAGTCGGGCTGTAAGGTGCTTGGATGAGCAGAAGAATATTCTAAGACGTGCTCAGCAGGTGGGTGGGCTCTGTGACTTAGTAAACTGAATTATGCAGCATCCTTCCCAAGTCTCCACCCGCTCTGCAACCTTTCTTTTCTGGTCTGGACTCTGTGTTGGAGCTGTCCTTTGGAGACGTGGGCCTTGGCAGCTGAGCTCCCCCACCGAGTGGTGAGCAGGCTCATCAGAGTGTGCTGATCCTGCAAGCCACGTGCCAGGGGACGCCATCCCAAGATCGCTTCTGTTTCCAGCGTCCTGTTGGCGCTTGCTCCTCCCCTAACGGTCCTCCCCTGACTGAACCCCGCAGTGACAGCTGCAGGGTGCTCTTGTCTCGCAGGAGACACTACTTCCACAGGAGTGAAAGCGCAGAATCACAGACAGGGACTGCTGAGCGAGTCATCGCAGGCCTTCGGAGCCAGAGGAGAATCGAGCGTGGGCACAGTCTGGCGCCCTCCACGCCCACAGCAAAACCACACACCTAGTTTTCCCATTTCTCCTCTTCTCCCTTGTTGATGTATTCCCCTCTCCCGTGACTGTGCGCGTGCCACTTGAAATCAAATATTCTGTCTCCGAAGAGTACTTGGGTCATTTTCCTCTCATGTAAAGTTGTACTGTTCTGCCCCCGTTTTGTTCTACTTCCCTTTATGTTAACCATCAGCCCTTTCAATGTTTCCTGTAATTTTCTTCCTTGTGGGACCATTCCTCCAGATCCCATATACAATGTGCTTTTCCCTTTTAGAGAAAACTCAGTGTCCGATTTCTCTGACAGTTTCCAGAACAGAAAGAATCCATGTTTGAACAGACGATGTCAGTGATGTCCAGTGAGATGGGCTTCACCCTCCCCTGGCTGGTTGACTCACCAGCCACGACGGATGGCACTGCCTGCTTTCACGGGCGCCACGTGGGTGCAGCTCCTTCCGCAACTTCCCTTGTCTTTTAGAATTGGTTTGTAAACTACCAATTTGGGGAAATTTCTTTAATGAATTGATTTTGAGTCAGGCTGCCAGTGGGAAAAGTTGAGGGTCACTCCTTTTCTAAGGTAGTAATTTCAAGGGCACCTCGCAATACAGAACATCTTATGCTCTCCTGAAACTTGGGGTTTGTGCAGTGTTTCTTTGTCTCAGTCAGACTTCTGACATCATTTGTGACACACATTGAAAATAGGACAGATTTTAAACTGTGGGAGACTGTCTCCCCTCATCTTACCTTTTTCCTGGTTATCTGTGCACGTGTGGGGTGACAACCGACGCAGGTTCTTGCTGTTGTTCTTGGGGGCCATCGTGTCAGACAGACCCGTGACTCCTCCTTGCCATCTGTATTTAGCATGTTCAGAAAGTGTTAGTGAGGTGGGCTCTTGGGCACAGGTTTTTCTCCCTAGTTTTGGGTTCTGCCCAGCTCCTGGGAGCGCATGGCTCTGTGCAGCGGCGAGGATTGTCCCCTGGCTTTTCTACTTGGTCTTTCCCTGGAGGCCCAGTGAATGTGGACTCAGAGCCCTTTCCGTGTCCCTGCAGATCCAATGGTTGTCCCGACTGCCTGCTCAGGTCTGCCCATGGGCACTGGGGTAGTTGTGCCGTGGAGATTCCAGGGGCTCAGTTTTGAGGTAGAAGCAGTGCCATGTGTTGGTTCTGGAGCCCGGGCTGTGCTACAGGGCCCGCACCTGCTTGCTGCTGTAACCCAGGGCAGCAGAGCGTGGAGTCGCGGCTCTGTCCGCTCGGCGTCGCGGGACATTAGAGTGACCTGCTCTGGTCCCACGGCTGTGCAGGTGCCTTCACCTGATGGCAGGTGGCCCTGCTGAACTGTTGTTCTCCAAATCACCAATGGCACAAGGCAAGGCTCCATCCAACCCCCTCCCCTCAAGCTCCAGGTCATTTCAAGTTGGAAAAATCCATTTCTTAAGCGGCGGTTCATTTGATTGACCAGATTCTGCATATAGGAGTGATTGCATGTATATGTGTAAGGACATAGCCAGGTACATGTGGTGTGCTTCCCAAGTGCTTTTAATCACGTATACCTTCAGATGTGTGCTAGGTTAACACTGATCTCCATTGAGTAAACTAGAGGGTTTCTTTTAATTCTCAAATCCCAGAGGAAGAGTAACCATGCTTGTGGTCAAGCATAGACGGTTTCCAGTGGCTTGAATGCAAACAGGACTGGTACGGAAGTCTCACGGATGCATATGCTTGGAGGAGAGGATGTTTTTTCCAGCCCCTCACAATTCCATTAGGCATCTCATACTCAGTTTTTAGTTTTGATTGAATTAGTGATTTTGCCACCTTTTGATGTGTTCTATTTGTTTAGGGCAGGCAGGAATAACAATAACAAAAATATTAATAGCTAAAAGTGTTTGTAAGACTCTGTATTTTCTCATTGAATTGTGGTGGTAGTCACACCCCAAAGAGGTCATCATGAATGATCTGCCCAAGTCCCGTCGCTTTCAAGACTGAGAGAGCTGCATGCATGTTCAAGAGCCGTGTCTCTGATGGCCACAGAGCATCTCTGCCTCTACCTCTTGCCTGAGTCCGTACCTTGGCGCCCACACCCATCTCTCAGTGCCTAGGCATGTGTCTCAGCACCTGTGCCAGTACCTCAATGGCCAGTGACTGCATGGGTGCTCATTAAGCACTGCCTTGGGGCCATGGCTATTTCAGAGGGAGACATGTTGAAACTCAGTTCATCTACAAGATGAGTATGTACTTGATGGATGATATTAGAGTGGATGATACTAACGTCCCACCGTGGACAGTGGCTCCCTGGATGGAAGCACCAAGGCAGTGGCTGTGAGGTGTGGATTAGAGCCTGAGCCAGTTCCTGCAGACTCTGCTTGTCTCAGCAGGGAGCTTTGGAGTCAGCTGTTGGGCAATGCCACGGTAGTCAAAGGGTCTGCAGAAAACAGAATTAAACGATCAGTTTATTTTGGTGCAAAAACTGGAACTCATGCATAGTATTTCCGCAGTGCACCTCTGCAGGGGACTTGCTATACTCCCTGTAGGTTTGTTTGTTTGTTTTTAAAGAACTGTAAGTGAACTGTAAGTGAACCCTGTAATTTTTAAAAGAACTGTTTTTTCTTTCCAATGCTTACCACCAGCCTCCTCCACAATGGCCGTGGGTGTGTCTTCAGGTATTTTCCTAACTTGTAGCCTTGGCCCGTGTTTCTCACAAAAATGAAGCAGCGTTCCCTGAAGCACGCCCCTCCCCCAGCAAACCACCCACAGCGCTTCGTGCCAGGGCTGCTCGTTGCCATGCCCAGCCTGTGCTCTTGTCATGGCTTCCATAGAACAGGCAGTGCCTTCTAGATACTTCCAAATGCTTTTTTTTTTTAAAAAAAAGTCTTGTTTATTTTTATTGGAAAGGCAGATATACAGAGAGGAGGAGAGACAGAGAGGAATAGCAGCCCCAATTCCCATCCAGCTCCCTGCCTGTGGCCCTGGAAGGCAGTCAAGGACGCCCCAAAGCCTTGGGACCCTGCACCTGCGTGGGAGGCCTGGAAGGAGCTCCTGGCTCCTGGCTTCAGATCGGCTCAGCTCTTGGGGAGTGAATCAGCAGATGGAAGATCTTCCTCTCTGCATTTCTTTCTCTTTGTATATCTGACTTTATAGTAAAAATAAATAAATCTTTAAAAAAAGCTGTATGTAATAATTAGCGTCTTAATTTAGTCCAAACTCGCAGGTTTGGTTACATACAATTCAATCTGTTCTCAGACACACATGTTTCTGGTCCTCCTCTTATTTGTCTGTGCGTGAATCTTGTTGGTTGGCCCAGAGAGAAGGAAACTGCTCCCTGAGTTATGGGAGGGTTGCTGGGGCACGCTCAGGTCACACAGTCGTGGCAGGCAGCGTCAGGCTGTGAGGGCAGCGGGGAAGGGACATGACTTCCCTCACCACGCCCTGCCGGGAGCACTGTGGCAATCCCAGCAGCCTGCCTGACGTTGAGTCCCCCAAATTCCCTGTTAATGAGGAGTGCAGGCATGGGGGCCGAGAGTTGCCTCGGTAGTAGCTTCCCATGTGGAGAAGTGGACATGGCCAGGAGAGAAGTGGACATGGGAGGGGAGAAGTGAACATAGGGAGGGGAGAAGTGGACATGGGGAGGGGAGAAGTGGACATGGGGAGGACAGAAGTGGACAGAGGACAGAAGTGGACAGAGGACAGAAGTGGACAGAGGACAGAAGTGGGCTCAGGGAGGACAGAAGCGGGCTCGGGGAGGACAAAAGTGGGCGGAGGACAGAAGCAGGCTCGGGGAGGACAGAAGCGGGCTCGGGGAGGACAGAAGTGGACAGAGGACAGAAGTGGGCAGAGGAGAGAAGTGGGCAGAGGACAGAAGCAGGCTCAGGGAGGACAGAAGTGGGCAGAGGACAGAAGTGGGCTCAGGGAGGAGAGCACTGTGTTCATCTCTGATGTCCTGATGTCAGTTGGCTTTGTCACCATGAGGTCACATTTAGGAAGCCTCTTAGCCATCAGAGTGGTAGCCAGGTGTTGTTCCTGCTGTGTCCTTTTGACTGTCCACTCCTACCGCAGAGGGGGACAAACAGTGACAGGGACCTGTTTGTACTCACAGGTGCAGGTGGAAGACTGGAAGGCGTGGCAGGCTTTGGAGTGCTGTCACGTGAGGCCATCTGGGCTCTTTTAGAGAAACTGCTTTCCAGCAATGCGTGTGAAGAGTTCTTTTCCTGCATGACTCCTGGCGAGGGCTGTTGTTTTCTGGCATTAAGTGCTCTCTCTGCAGCCTGTTCAGGGCCACTGTTGCCCTGGGAGTGGTTTTGGGGACCACTCCGAAGTGCAGGTACTGTGGCTGTGTCTGTGGGAACTTGCTGTCCCAGAACCTGAACCCCAGGACAGAAATGCTGGTGTTTCTTACGCAGTCCTGGTGCTGTTGCCAGCTGTTGGTCGTTTTTCACACGCAGAGCCAAGGTGTTCCAGCAGAACTTTCATTTTGCACAGCTGCACACTCTGTGGCATTTCTTCAGTGTAAGAACTGCGAGCCGGCCGCTCAGCAGCCCAGTGCCCTGTCTCCAGGCTCGTGACTGCCTAGCTTGACTCAAGACGTGGGCTGTGGGCCTCTCACATAGGACCCCCTTCCGGGACCCCCAAGCCCCTCCCAGGACATCCTGAAGTGAGCTCTGAGGGTCAAGTGATGTCCATTCAAAGGGAAGAAATTCAGGTCTAACCAGTTTATAAGTGAATCCACTCACTATGTCTGCACAGACACACTGTCTCCAGGCATTTAACACTCAGTATCTCACCGCTGGAAATATTCAGCCAGTAAAATAGCAGTCTAGCAAACGTTTCTTTCACATTTATAAAAATTTTCATGCAAATCATAAAACTTATATAAAATTGACCACAAACAGTAATCTAGGATATGAAGGATGGGGACTGCCAAGTGGGGACATTTAGAAATGATCTATTCCTAAAATAAAATTTAAAAAACCCCATTAAACACATCTGAGAACCTGCAGCCTAGGCTGTGTTGGAAGATTCCTTCTGAAGAACTAGTGTCCAGTGGGAATGTCTCATTTCCAGACTCTACTTCAAACACTATGGTACCCATTTTCCATCTGCAAATATTACGCTTTTTCACTCCAGGTCACAATAGAGCACACTTTAGGGTACATTTTAAATTGATCAGATGTGAACATTTAAATAATTAAATAGGCAAATACTAGGCATATATATAAACAAAGTATATTTTTATATGTTTAAAGTTTCTGTGTATAAACAAGTATATTTTATGTTGTTGGCACTAGTGTGCACAAAGATATACTCATTTGCTCAAAGCTGTGCAAATGGAGAGTTGGGACATTAGGCTGGTCCCAAGAAGCCCTGCTGTTTGCATGTGAAATTGAGAAAAGCAAGGGATGACAGGTCCATTGTCAAACAGAGATGCTGCGCACAGCTGGTGTGTCCGTGCAGCAGCCAGCTGGAGCGTAGAGATGGGGGGCCAGCTTCTGTGGCAGGTGTTAAAGCTGCCTTGGTGTCAGGCGTGTGAGCGAGGAATCATACAGGACATAACAAAACATGCCGAGTCAGAGATAGAGAGAAGCTGTGATGGAGTCAGAGGAAGAAGCCAGCAAGCCAAGTGGAGTTCAGAGACGAGAATCATGTGTAGACACACACGGCTGGCCAGGGTCACTGTAGGGTACTGCTCAGAAATGGTGACTCCTGAGCCCATCTGCCTGTGCGAGGCTCAAGGACAGGACAGAGGGGCAGGCAGTATCTCAGGTCTGTGCTCATAGCAGTGTCCTGAACACGTAAATCCTCTTGCAATGCCTATGTCAGGGTCCTG